CATTATCCTCGTTACTAAGATTATAATTCTTGCAGGGCCAGGAAGTTCAAAACTAGGTGCACGGACAACAGCTGCCATTATATTCGGGCGACTAGTATTGGTTCCTCCAGTTGGTCTTGGCATTGTCACATTGGCTGATAAGCTTGGCTTCCTGCCCCCGAATGATAAAATGTTCAGATTTGTCCTCCTCCTCCAGCACACAATGCCCACATCTGTGCTTTCTGGTAAGCATGTATATATAGATACAGCACATCTAAGGCCTTGTTTGGGAGAGATTTTTTTGAAAATAATTTTTTCCAAAATAATTTTGAACCACGTTCTACATAAAAAATAAAAAAAAATTATTATTTTTCACATTTCCCATAATTTTTCCTTACTTCTTAATAACACACACTCCAAAAAAGTTATCTTTCACATAGAAAAACCTCTCCCAAATGAACGCTGAATAGTATATATCAAAAAAAAGGATGAAATTTTGTTTATTATATCATTAGTCTTGTCCCAAAACACACCAAATGTACTATTATTACTTTTTTCCCAATTTTTAAGAGTATTCAAGATAGCAGCACACCCTTATAAACCTCAGTACTCAACTGTGCTTTCTTTAAAATACTTTCGGAACATCCCTACGAAGTAAAAGCAGCCATGTACTGAGGCTGTCTGCTTTTTGTCAGTTTAATGTTCTGGCTGTTTGGTGATTAAACTTGCCAAAAAAAAAAAAAACTAACAATATCCAAATTCACAGGAGCCGTTGCCAGTCTTAGAGGATGTGGGAGGGAAGCAGCTGCAGTATTGTTCTGGGTTCATATCTTCGCTGTTTTTTCCATGGCTGGATGGATCATTCTCTATCTCAACATACTATTTTGAAGTATAGTAAAAGTATGGTACCCTGCTGAAAAGTGTATTTTATCCATTTATTCGTGGCCTAAAATATTGATATTTGGCATTTTTTGACAAAATATATTATAAATTGTTGTATTTTATATTCTATAGGTTAAACTTAATGGTTGAATGAGAAATTTGAGGAAACAAAACAAAATCAAGGAAAAATGGCAAAGTCCAAAATTTGAGGACTAAATTGCAAATATTCAATTGTTGATTCGGACCACAAGATGATACTTTGAAAATTTCTAGAAGACACTTCGATGGAATTGAAACTCAAAAAGGAATGAAATATGATCAAAATATTATCGAAATCAATTTTTCAATAGCACAAGTTATATTTTAGATTAGTTGTCGAAGATTGAGATCCATTTTTGGTATAGTAAACGTCCGAATTGAAAAAAATTATTTCTATAAAAGTTATAGCCTTTTGAGTTAGCTTTTTAACGCACTTTGAATCGTTTCAATCGGATATCGAGAAAGAAAATTATGGCTAAATACTGATTGTTGTGCGGCGACAAACAAAATCCACGCACAAAGACAATTTTCCTTATTCGATTGGAACTCTTTTTGAAGTCAATTTGGACGTGATTTTCAATCAATTTTCTACTCCTACAAATATCTAACAGCAAAATACATATGAGATACCTCTCATATACATCTTATATTCCAATATTCATCAATTATTATCATCGAATAATTCATATTTTTCGTGAGAGAATTGAAGGAGACTTGCAAGAATTCAATCAATTGAAGATTCAAACTTTTCTTTTTGCAAAGAAGAGAAGATGCAAGTGGAGATTCATCAAGAAACCATTGAATAGATTCAAGATTTCAAGATTTATATTCATCTTCTCAATTTATCAAAAATTTGAGTTATATCTTTTCACTTAAATATGATTTCTTGCAATTTCGATTGTTGTGCTAGTTTTATACATTGTTAGGATGAGATGAACAATTGTTATGATATTTTTAGTTTTTAATTAATTATTTTGACTTTAATTTGATTTATGGATTTTTATTATCTTTTTATCGTTCTTTTCAATTGCTTGATCACCAATTGAATTATTAATGAATTTATTGTTATTTAGAGAGATAATAGAATTTAAACACAATATAGTAAACATTGTAAGGTTTGATAGATGATAGAGATATACATATATGCTTTATATGATTTCAATATGTGTTCTAACACTTGTTAATGCATTTATCATATTTGCATCTTTCATCAAGAGATAGAAGGGACACGTGAGGGGAATAGATTTGATCATCATCGAGATAGACTTTCAATTAAATTAGAAACATTGACCAACATGAATGATTTCAAATTATCACTTTAATTGTTACACTAAAAATGAAAAAATAAGAGGGATTCGATATCGTAGTAATGCATCTCATATATTTGAAAAACGCATTTACTTACTTCTATTAATTTAATTGATAATTTAGGGATTAGTATAAAAAATCACAAATTTTGTTTATTGTTCGATTAAAGTTGCAATTAATTTTAATTCCATCAACACATAGTCCTTGTGAATTCGACATTCTATTTGTCATTATATTATTTAACCACGATCCCCGTGTACTTACGATTTTTCAAAAGATTGAGTTTTTTGTCACTGTCTATTGTTTTTTATAAGTTTAGTTAATTTTTGTTNATATGTTAAGGCTAATTTTATACATTGTTAGGATGAGATGAACCCATGTTATGATATTTTTAATTTTTAATTAATTATTTTGACTTCAATTTGATTTGATTTGTTGATATTTATTATCGTTTTATCAGTCTTTTCAATTGCTTAATCGCCAATTGAATTGTTAGTGGATTTTATTATTATCGAGAGGGACAATGGGGTTTAAACACATTATAATAAATATTGTAAGGTTCGATAGAGATATACCTCTATGCTTTATATAGTTTCAATATGTGTTCTAATACTTATTAATGCATTTATCATATTTTCATTTTTCATCGAGAGATAGAATGATCACATGGGGGAAATATATTTGATTGCTAACGAGAGAGACTTTCAATTAAATTAGGAACATTAACCGACATAAATGATTTCAAATTGTCACTTTAATTGTTACACTAAAAATGGAATAACTAGGGGGATTCGACATCGTAGCAATGCATCTTACATATTTGAATAAAAATACATTTACATACTTTCATTTATTGTAATTGATAATTTAGGGATTAGTATAAAAAATCGCAAATTTTGTTTATTGTTCGATTAAAGTTGTAATTAATTTTAATTCCATCAACACATAGTCCTTGTGAATTCGACATTCTATTTGTCATTATATTATTTAACCACGATCCCCGTGTACTTACGATTTTTCAAAAGATTGAGTTTTTTGTCACTGTCTATTGTTTTTTATAAGTTTAGTTAATTTTTGTTTTAATTTGAATTTTGTTGTATTTTTTTTTTTTTTGTTTACTTTATTATATTAGAAAAATATTACGTTGTTTTCTACTACTTTTTTCAAAACCTCGTATCCGAAATTCAAAAATCGGTGATCTTGTTCAATTTGACTCGGAGATCGAACTAACATTTAACTTTCGAAAAAGATAACAGTTGGAAACACACCAACAACCGAAACAGGAAGACATGGTAAAGGAAAATCCTAATCAATTAGTCATCGGGGCTAATCTGGAAGCAGCATAATCTAATGTAAATGCAGTTAATGAAAATGCAAGGCTCATAGGGGAGTACATAGTTCCACCGATTGTGAAAAACCAATCTAGCATAGTATATCCGGCATTTGGTCAGGCAAACTTTCACCTAAGGACTGATGTTATCAACATATTCCAAAACGCGCTACAATTCTTTGGGAGAACTTCGGAGAATCCCAACGCTCATATATTAAGATTTCTGGATATTTGTGCAACTATCGAGTATCCGGATGTCCAGTAAAGCAATCAGACTGATGTTTTTCCCATACACATTGAGAGACCCAGTCAGAGAATGGTTAGACACTAGTCCACCTCATAGGATCACTATATGAAACCAATTGAGTCAGAAATTCCTTAGCAAATATTTCCCGCCGAAAAGGATTGCAAAGCCAAGGGACGAGATTACCACATTCCAGCAACTGGACTCGGAATGCTATTCAGATGCTTGGAAACGATACAATGGTTTACTCCGCAAATGCCCACAACACGAATTGCAGAAATGGATTTAGGTGTAGTACTTCTACATTGGTTTGACTCCACATCAGTCCGATAAGTAGGGCTAACGTAGACTCCACATGGGATGGTTCTATCACAAAAAGAACTGCTGATCAAGTCTACCAAATCATTGTAGTACTTCTACATTGGTTTGACTCCGATAAGTAGGTCTAACGTAGACTCCACATGCGATGGTTCTATCACAAAAAGAAGCGCTGATCAAGTCTACCAAATCATTGAGAGAGACAATAAGATTTAAACACAATATAATAAATATTGTAAGGTTTGATAGAGGATAGAGATACACCTCTATACTTTATATGGTTTCAATAGGTATTCTAGCACTTGTCAATGCATTTATCATGTTTGCATCTTTCATCGAGAGATAAGGGTCACATGAGGGTGATATATTTGATTGCTATTGAGATGGGACTTTCAATTAAATTAAGAATATTGACCAACATGAATGATTTCAAATTGTCACTTGAATTGTCACACTAAAAATGGAATAATAATGGGAGTTCGACATCTTAACAATGCATCTCATATATTTGAAAAAAACACGTTTACTTACTTTCATTTTCATTAGTTTAATTGATAATTTAGGAATTAGTATACAAAAATCACAAATTTTGTTTGCTATTCGATTAAAGTTGCAATTAATTTTAACTTCATCAAAAAAATAGTCCTCGTAGGTTCGACATTCCATCCATCATTATATTACTTGATCACGATCCCGTACACTTACAGGTCTTCAAAAGATCACCCGTCATGGCAGCATCTGTACGGTCAGCTGCGATAATTGGACGGATCGACAGTTCAACTTTGCTCTCCCAAGATAATGTGATGATAAGCTGTTCAAGACAAACTGGGTTTCCTCAGTTTCGTGCACAAAGTACAATAGTGAGTTGGGAGGCCCAGATCACGAGTTAAGATGTACAATTCATGAGTACCTGCAGAATTCGTCTTTAAAAAATTATATATAAAGCTTCTTTAATCTACAGATATCTCTGCCTCAATATCATGTGCATCCTTCATTTGTTTTCTTGAACGCATGTTGTATTGTTACTTTTTATGAGCCTCTCCCACAGACCAAAAAAAATCAAACAAACAATACAAAAGAAAATATGTAAATTATTGAAAAGGAAAACAGAATCGCTTAAAAAAATAACTTGTCCAAAAAGATGGACTAGAGAAAAATAGTCATCTGTAAGTTGTATTAAGATTCAAGTAGTTAACTTTAGTGCATATACAATATAGCTCACATGCCTTTGAAACTCCAAGTAGTTGATTTGGATAAACAAAAATACCTGCCAGAACTTGAACTATATTTCACCTGCATCCTAAGATGGAAAACACAAGGTGGAGACAAGGCATTAGCTGTTCCTTTACGTAGAAAAAGAAAACGAAGATCTCTGCCAAAATGAGCAATTATCTGCGTCACACTTCTAAATGCAGGTTTTGACAACGAGGAAATCTTTGAACACATAAGTTTGAGGTTAGTTGCGCAAACCCAAGAGTCCACTATTTCCAACCACAATCTGTAGACTAAAGAACATGTTAGAAGAAAGACCACCACCTTCTACTTCGGCTATTCTCCCTGGCAGGGAGAATGCAGTCACTCGGCCACCTTCCATCTATTAATGGCTTTCCTAACCACAACATAAGAGTAATGCCTACAATACTGACAATAGGAGCAGCAGCAGCAAGAAAGAATCGTCGGTTTCTTGAACTTTCCCTAATAGAGTTATCCGCGACATAATTTCTATCCACTAGTTCCTCATCTGCTCTAGCACCATAAAATTGAGAAACTTCATCAACTACAGCATCATCATCCATAGTGTCTGAGGAACTATCCTCGTTCACATCACGCTGCTCAGTATGGAGCATCCCAAATCCACTCTCTCCGTCTCCTTTCTTCTCCTCATAATCTTTGTCATCAGTTGGAAGCTCATATCGACAAAGGGGGCACGAGTTACGTGCGCTCAACCATGGCAAAATGCATTGAGGGTGATAGATGTGAAAACAAGGAAGTTGGTTTACAACAGTGCCAACAATTATAGAATCCTTGCAGATTGCGCATGCCAAATCAACCAGCTTGTCATGGTTTTCATTAATGATCACACGCGGCAAATTATTTACAATGGATATAGCTGCTGGAGGTGCTCCTCTTCTTGAAGAGTCAGTTCCAGCAAGGTGCTCAAGCAGGTTCTCAAAGCCTCTGGAATCAAGATAATCCCCAGCATTTCCAACATAATTTTGTGTCTCTAACTCTTGAAAATTAGTTAAGTAGTCAGCAGTATGTGTTTGTGTCCTCTCCGGAACCCTCATCCGAAATGTACCGTCAAATTCAGGAGAAAAACGTTGTCTGTGCCAATTTATGCGTGCATTGCTCCCATTTGACCCCAAAGAGCCATAATTCAGAGTTCGAGCTCTTGAGGACTCAACATTGCTTCCCTCAACATCATTTTCCTCCCAGTCACTATCTTCACCTTCATCTTCTTCTGAATCTTCTGAGTTCCACTGGTATAGACCAGCATGCATTGGGTCTATATCAGTATCACTCTCTAGGTCACTTCCACCATCTGGTTGGGCAAAAGTTTCATTGAGACTGTTACCATCAATGGAGGCATCAGAGTCTCCTCCATAAGTGGTATATGAAATGGTATCGCCCTCACCGTGGAAATGCCTGTATCTCCTGAAGCTGACATTTGATTCACCCTCTCCATAGAAAGAATCAAAGCCATCACTTTCAGTATCAGAAAACACCCTCCTCCATCTACTGGACCCACTTGGAGTTGTCTGAGTACTCGTAAGCTGCACTAACCTTGCAGCACCATCTACGGACTGATTATCATGCTCTAAAACTGTGGACTGGTTTTGCCTTGCCAGATTTATCATTTGCGAAAATTGTTGGGAGAACATAGAATCGATTGACTCAGAGCTGTCATACCTTCTCCTCGTTGGTCCAAGTGTTCTCCTCGGGTATGAGTCTGGTGTGGTGGTCTCGAGATCCTCAAGAAACAAAAATTTGCAATCTCCACATATGTTGATAGCTTCAAGATCACCAGCCTCGTTATCAGATAAAAGGATTCTTTGGCATAAAGCACAAGTTGCGGGGACAACGGGAAGGATAGAGTTTTCAACATATAAATTCTCATTTATGTGACCGAGTCTGGACCGAGCAGATTCTTCCGACATATCTTCTGAATTTACATCCATTTAGAACTGCAATGAAAACCATAGAACATGAATAAATTGAGTCCAGTAAGCGATAGTGTAAAGTGTCATGCAAGAAACTGACTCTGCTGATTAATATAAACCACATTAGCTAATGATAAAATGAGAGTGGTGGTGGTGGTGGTGGTGGTGCCAGGGAAAAAATGTCTTGATAGATTTTAAACTAATAGTAGACTATGATAAAAACACACAATCACTTTGTATATAATTTTGTCTAATGAATTTAATAGATGAAGTTACCAACCTCTCCCCCATCAGTACCAAAACTAAGTACTCAGGCACTAACTACAAGGCGGTCCAAATCCACTGAATAGGTATTCTTTCCTAGAGAAATTAGAAGGCCGATGAACCCTAATTTGTTGAAGCCATAAATTCCACCCTCTCAAGAAATCATGTAACAAGTCAATATGCTAAGCTATCAGAAAGATCGAAGGAAAACTACTAGTATATATGCATTTACATGTACACATAAGTTCAAATGCTAGATTAATAAATTGGATTTCTGTCGCGAAAAGAAAAATGAAAATTGAAAAAGGATACTGAGCACACATTCAAAAAAATAAAATTTGAGAAATATTGAATCTCAGGTACTAAGATAAATGAGATCCAAATGGAAGCAAACATGGTAATTTCCCCCAATCAGATTGACCCAAAATATTTCAACAACTGACAACTTTCACTGCAAAAATTAAAATTAGTAAACGGAAACAAAAAATGCAGACACGAACTATGCCCACCAAGAATCTGAAATATACATCAAACGAGAAAAAGATCCAATTGATTCAAATGTAAAAAATAAAACAGAAGCAAGATTGATAATTTGCGATATTGAAGGGTAAATTTAATTTACTATATCGATTAGCCGGAGACTAAGTCAATGTCGCTGGCCGATGACCAAAACTTTAAATCCGAAGCGTCAAGTCAATAATCGATCTCCTGAACAAAATTTACAAGGAATAAAGAGTGAAAATCACAGTTCTAAGCATAGATTCAGAGATTACATATATAAACCCTAAGCTTCTCATTTTGCTAGAACTAGAAAAGAAACAAAAAGAATTGAAAAATGTGGCAGAGTTTACCAATCCAGGAAAACGAAACTGAAGCCGAAGTAGGGCGTGGACTGAAGAATCCAACACCATACCAAAATGCGAAGAATCAATGTTAATAGCTTTTTCAGGAGAAAAGAGGGTAAACATAAGAAAACAAAAGTCAAGAGTGTCATGGTAACGGTGTGGGGCCCGTTTCCAAGTATTGAAATGTATTTGTTATTATAATTTTTTAATACTGTATTTTTTTTTTTCCACACATTGGATGAGCAGAGGTAGGTTTAGTGCACGTCTCGATTAAGTTCACCAATGAGCGCAGCCTTCGTATTCTATGGTAATTGTTGAAATTGAAAGCTATAACTATTATATTAGGAATTAGAGCATGAAAGTGAAACTTTTAAGGGAGGAAATGGGACATAATGATAAAGTAAACACATCCTTATGAAAAGAATAAAGCCAATTGAACCGACTAAAAAACAGATAAAGTACAGAAAGACTAACTTGGTAGTGTATGTGTGAATTTTATTTATTTTTTAAACTGTCCAATTATGTATGGACACGTGTTCCTTCTGTTTTTTAGTCTGTCATTGAGCATATTTGTGTAGCATAATTGTTATGAAAAACTTATGTATAGATTGAATAGTGAATAAGCTAATAATACTTATAAATTCATTAGAATGTATTTTTAAAAATAAAATTTGACAAATTATATATGATTTATAAATTAGTCAAATTAAGGCTAAAAAAAGAAACAACGCCTCACTTAAAACACTAACGGCACATTTGGTTTGTATTTCAATTTTGAGTTTTGAATTTTGAATTCGGTTTAGTTTTTTATTTTGATTATCATGATTTTAAGATTGCTAAAAGCGCATTTTTTTTTCTTTCTAAAAAATTATTTTTCAAAACAGAAAACTCGAAATCATGTTTGATTTGTAAATTTTAGAATTTATTTTATGACATTTTATTGCATTAAATTTGATTTTTAATAAAAATAGAATTGTTTTGCTCTCCATTTCTAAGTTCATAACCTTTGCGATAGTTTCGTCAATATTACTTGCCAAATAAAATGCCTATTTAGGAAGACCATCTAATTCTACGCTCTAGTGGTTTTTGCTAGACCAACATATTTCCCTGAGAAATCGGTATATACTCTGCTACAAAAAAAAATTTGTGTAAGAAATGCTGATTTTTCCCACTCTTGCTATGGTTAAACGATCTTCTTTTGATAATTCGTCTAACCCAAGGACGGCTATAATGTTCCAAAACTCTTTGTAACGTTGTGAAGTTTGCTTAACTCCTTGTGTAGTTTTTTAATGTTCTTCACTAACGATTCGGGGGGTTGAAGCATAGTTGACGTTGAATTTAAATGATCTATCCAAGATACATCCCCTTAGCAGCTAATCCTCTTGATAATATGTTAGTAGCATCTAAATGTGCAAATGTCGTAGCAAGAGCAGAGGCCGTCAAATCATCTACAAGTATGTAAACTGCTTAAATAGAATTTATGGACCCACACTTGGTAGAAAAAGTATATGTAAGGTATTTTCCTATTCCTTTTATGCCACGGGTTTAAAACCAAAAAAGAGTTTTCAAATATTTTAT